AGCCAGTCATGAACAGTTTTGTAAGGGTATATCTCACAGTGATTCAAAAAAAAATTAACAAAATAAATTTTTCAAAAATAAGTCATTAAAAAAATCTATTGTCATGTACAGCTATTAGTATAATGAAGAATCTTTTACTTTACACTCTGAAATGACCCTAGGACATTTGTAAGAAATGCCCTCAAGAGGTTGTGTGTTTGCGGGCGGTGCTCTCAAGCCGCTGTGTACTGACAGGATCAGGACTGCTCTAGGCAATGGGCAGGCGAAGGAAGAACGAGGACCAGTCTGGTTGTGATTAGTTACCGTTTATTCAGTCTCTTGTCTCTCCCACTTCATGTATTCTTCCTTCCTTGCCCCTCATTCCTCGATCCCGCGCATCTCTCCACACTGTGTCTCGCAGCCTGGGCTCTCCCTTTCCTCTCTCGATTCTGACTCCTCTCTAGAATCTGACTCTGACACCTCAGCTTCTCTCTCTACCCCTACTTATATCTCTCCACCTTGCCCTCCAGGCCCATGCTCTACCCAGTCTGGAAGCAAAAACAACATAAGGTAGCCCTTCCTGACCACCCTCAGACAAAATAGCTCTTAAGGTGTTTTTCTACTTTAGTTATTTTTGTGTGGACACAGTAAGAGATACATTGAGGTTTATAGGGCAGTTCTCCTGGGAACATCTTGCCACAGAGTCAGACTACAGTGCTCAGGCCAGATTCATCATTTCTAACCCTATCAGGGTCCAAATTTAGTTATTACTTTTTGGATCATGACAGCATCTGTCCATGACCAAACTCTTAACTTATAGTTAAGCATTAAGCACTTTGGCCAGGCCCATCTCGATGCCAAGGTAGCACACAGCTCACCGCTTGCCCTGGGTCAACCAGTCCCTGATTTGGGGGGTGCTAGGAAGTAAGGGCAGCTGTGGCTTAGGTGAGAGAACAGATGCCCAGGAGAAAAATGTCATTTAGAGTCAAATGACTCCCACATAACAAAAGCATAGCATTTACTACTGTCTTCCTGTGCCCATACAAAAAAAAGGACATTATTCTGAGTATACTAAACAAAGGACTTAAGGAGAAGAGACAAACAGTATTTACAAGTCAACAGAGCACAAAGAAAGAAGCTACAAATAAACACAGAGGAACGGGAGCACGGTGATGGGAGCAACCCAATAAACCTAAACTATCTGAGGCTATGCAGGATGGACAAAACAATGTTATCCTACAGATATTCTATTACTATTAATTATAAAACAATTTTTTCAATGTAATTAGCCTCCTTTTAACATAGGAATAAAAAGATTTCTAATTTTTACTTCAAAAAAAAACTATTTGGGACACAGCAACAAGTTGGATTCCAGGAATCCCATATTGCCCCCTGAGCACCACTAGGAGTAATTCCTGAGTGCAGAGTCAGGAGTAACCCCTGAACATTGATGGGTGTGACCCCAAGAGACTAAAAAGTAAAATTTTAAAAATAAAGAAAAGAGTTATTTTATTAATTTTTAAAGTTCTGTCCATTGATTGGAATTCAATTGATGCTTCTTCACTTAGATATCAATTTTAAGCACAAAGTTCATATAGTCAGTTATATGAACATAATTTTATAGTGGCTCTAGAAGAAATGAAAGGAAACAGCTTCTGAGACACATTCATAAAAAGTAACATAGAGGAAAGAGACTTGTGGGATTGACGAATATCACTATCTCTATTTCATTACCATTCATGCTCACTCGACATTTCCACAAAGAAATTACTCCCGAGCTTTTTCGTCTTCCTTTATTTCACCCCAATTTTACTGAAATCATAGTTCTCTATTATTATCGCAAATCAAGTTCCCTATTACCCCAGAATACAAATTGCTTTCTTGAAAGTAAACTGGTAAATCCCTCATACCGTAGACATATTTAGATAAGTATAAAAGTGACCAGTCTTTAGATAAATTCAAAAGCAGGGTGACAAGCACAGTTACTTGGTTGCATCATGCACTTAACCTCAAGATGCCCACAGGATAACCTCAGGGAGAATGAGATTCATCATGATCAACTACAATGATCATAACAGCCAACATATTATAGGTTTTATTACAGATATTGTAAGGTTTGCTCAGATCACATGGCTTCTGGCTCTGAGATAGCAACACTCCCAGAACAAAGATCGCCCTCCTCCCCAGCTGGAGAACAGGACTTTTAACCCACCTAGAAAGCTGTGAGGCTGCATTCCATCCTTACTCACATCAGGACCGCCTACAGATAACAGAAATCCAGGCTCAACACATCTCACTAGTGTTTGAACTTTTTCCCGCCCAAGACGCTTAAAAGCCCCCTTAGTCTTTCCCAGGTCAAAGCTCTAACCCAACCACTCCTGGGGCCAATGTAGAATCTGTCCGGAAGCACCCCAATAAACTTCTATTCCTTCACTCTCCCTTTGTCTGCACCGAACAGGGTCCCCAATCTATCAAATATGCTGTTTTATATTGTTCCAAATCTATTAAACATGCTATTCTATGTTGTAGCATGGGCTGGAGTGATAGCACAGCAGGTAAGGCATTTGCCTTGCACACGGCCAACCCGGGTTCGATTCCTCTGGCCCTCTTGCAGAGCCCAGCAAGCTACGAGAGTATCCGCCCATGCGGCAGAGCCTGTCAAGCACCCCATGGCATATTTGGTATTCCAAAAACAGTAACAACAACTCTCACAATGGAGACGTTATTGGTGTCAGCTCAAGCAAATTGGTGAACAATGGGAAGACAGAGCTACTGTGCTATATTGTAGCATATTGTAAGAACTTTACTAAAAAGAAAATATAAATGTATCATTTGAATAGAAATCCACACAGAACATGTATGACACTAAGACCAAAAAGTAGTGTCAAGAAATCCTCATGATGCTGGGCCCTTGCCCATCCAGGCGAGAAGAATCACAGGACAGGGATGAGGCACATGAAATCAGCTTTATTTCTCCTTGACAAGAGGAAAACCCTGAGTTGGAATACCCAGAATACCCTGGTAGCAAACACTGGTTCTCAAAAGTGCTTTATAGCTTTCTGGTTCCATATAAGGGCCACAGCCTTACAAGGTGATCTGGAGGAGAGAGACAATTAAAATATAAATGTTCTTCATCTGATTATTCTCAATATCACATATAAATGCAATGTGTTAAAGTGGAGATGCCCAGATCAACCTTGGGCCCAGAGCACAGGGAGGAGAAAGACTGGAGGGGGTAGAGAGAAGGGGACAGATCGGGGGATTAAGGTACAAAGGTGGTGTAAGAAATGATAGAGCCAGGACTGAAGGGATAGCACAGCAGGTAGGGTATTTGCCTTGCACGAGGGAGACCAGGGTTTAATTCCCAGCATTCCATATGGTCTCCTGAGCACTGCCAGGAGTAATTCCTGAGTGCATGAGCCAGGAGTGACCTCTGTGCATCGCCGGTGTGACCCAAAATGCAAAAAAAAAAAAGAATAATAGAGTCAAATATCCAAACGACAGGGTCAACAACACTGAAATCAAGATTTCAACCACGAAACTTGTGGGGTGGGGAATGGTTACGGGAAAAAACTTGGGCACACTGGTGGAGGAGGGAGGGAAGTTGGCACTGGTGGTGGGATCAGTGATTCTATACTGTATGTCTAAAACTCAACTATGAGTAACTTTGTAAATCACACTACTTTCATAAAATAAGGAGAAGTAAAAAAAAAGGTACTAATTGAGAACTTGATTACCACCACTCTTCCCCCACCAAAAAAAAAAAAACTGATCTGGCTTCCAATGCATTGGGAGTAAGAAGAAAGGGTTCCGGTTTTAAAAGTCTTCCTTGGCATTTCCTGCCTGTTCTAGGGCCCTCATGATGAGGCCAACCAATCCCAGAATCCCCTATTTCATTCCAGAAAAGAGTTTCATTTTATCTCAGTCCTCATAACTGATATTTATGCATGATAACCTCTCAGTGTCTGTATTGCAGACCATAAAGCTCAAAAGTAGAGAGAGAGAGTATGGGGAAAATTGTCTGCCATGGAAGAAGGGGGAGGGTGGGAAAGGCGGTCTATACCAGGGATATTGGTGGTGGGGAATGTGCACTGGTGAAGGTATAGGTGTTTGATTGTTGTGTGATAGTAACACAAACATGAAAGCTTGTAACTATCTCACGGTGATTCAATAGAATTTTTAAAAATAACTTAAAAAATTAAAATAGTATATGCTATAGGTAAAAAAGGTAAAGGTAAAGGTCCTCCCGTTGATCATCGATTTGCTCGAGCGGACCCAGTAACGTCTCCATTGGAGACTTTGTTGTTACTGTGTTTGGCATATCGAATACGTCACGGGGAGCTTGCCAGGCTCTGTCCTGCGGGCGGGATACTCTCGGTAGCTTGCCGGGCTCTCCGAGACGGGCGGAGGAATCGAACTCGGGTTGGCCATGTTGGCTGCATGCAAGGCAAACGCCCTACTGCTGTGCTATCGATCACTAAAGGAGCCACTATAATAACACTATAATAATATCAAAAAACCTGAGAAATATTAGTCTATTCATCACCCAACAACTGATTAAACATAGAATGTACAGGTCAAAACTAAAGCTTTTCTTCCATTAACGTGTATTAATTTTCAAATGTTTCATAATGAGATTTCAATTCAGAATGACCTATCTAGCTCAGGAAAAAAAAACAACAATTGGAATTATTTTCCTATTGACCAATCCATAGAGCATTGCAGATAGGGAGTCACATAATGTAATCACAGCTAACACGTGAGAAATTAGACAAAAATTAGGAGACTCAGGTTCCCTCTAGTTGTCAATGAAAAGGTTATCCGATATGGTGTCTTCACTGGAAAATATTCAACAATTTTTTGAATGAAGAAATGAAGAAATAGGTACACTGATTCGTCATAAGTAGTATACTGCTGAAAGCTTCTTTGTTGATGGCTTATAAGAGATGCACAACAGCAAATTAGCTCTCTGTGTAATCAACAAGGACATCTCTATCACAGGGTCATGGAGAATGTTCCATTCATAAGTAGATCTTCAACATCTCACAAATTGAATGCTCAGGCTCATTACAAGACATATCATTCCAGCCCCATTCGCAACGAAAATCTAATGTAACACAATGTTCATAGTCATTATTGGGTTCATTTTGGTGCCAGAACCTGAAAAAGGAGAACAGGATAAGTATGTTTCTCAAACTGTCTTTGAAGAGAGACAGTGAAGCAAGGTCTGTCATAGAGCGTTATGGAGGTCAGGTCAGAGACACACAAATCATTGCCTCCCCAATCCTTACACATGACCCATCCATCTGTTGCCGGCATTTCCCCTGAAAATGGGGCTGCCATCCCCTAGAGCTGCCCCATCGCCTTGTGTCAGACACCCTTCCTGCAGACCTGCCTTTATCAGTTTATGCTTGTGCCCTGAATCCATGGGCTCCTTTAGTGATCAAAAAATTTTATCGTGGTCATATCAATAAAGTAGGCTTTTTTTATGTACTACTTTTGGACTATGAGACTTGCTTAAACTATCTTTGATTTGATGCTTCTAGACACCGCCCAAGGTTGAGTCATCGAGGGCACCCCAGAGAATGCTGGGTGAGCCTAGTGCCCACTCAAACAGAGCCCCAGATACTCCAAAATAGCCACCATGCTCTAGCCCAGATTACACTGCTCAGGATGAGCCTCACCCAGAAATGAATCCTGGGTTGAAAAGCTCAGGGATGCAAAAACTAGAGATGGATTATGGGGGAAATTGTCTGCCATAGAGTCAGGGGGAGGGTTGGGATAGGGGTAGGGGTATATGAGAGACATTGGTGGTAGAAAATGTGCATTGGTGGAGAGAAGGGTGGTCAATCATTCACTTAATCACTTAATGACTTAACTTCCCGTTAGTCGTCAATTTGCTCGAGCGGGCGCCAGTAACGCCTCCATTTGTCCCTGTCGCGTGCTAGTGTAGCCCAATGGCATCTCTTCGCTCCGGGAACATGGAGGGCCTCAAACCGATCATTCATGATCTTGACAAAGAAGTCTGACCATCTGGTAGGTGGGCGGCCACGCGGTCTCTTGACATCCCGTGGAATCCAATCAGTAACAGCTCTAGTCCAACGGTCGTCTTTAAATCACATTACGTGACCAGCCCATCTGATTTTCGACACCTTGGCATATGAGACAGCGTCCCTGATCCTTGATCGTCGACGGATGTCAGAACTCCGGATTCGTTCTCTCATTTGAGTGAAACGTGATATTCCAAGCATAGCTCTTTCTATTCTTCTTTGGGAGACCTGAATGGCGTTCTCATCTTGTTTGCATAGGGCCCAGGTCTCTGAGGCATATGTTAATGCAGGAAGAACAGTGGAATCAAAGAGATGTGCCCGGAGCCGGAGGTTCTTCGTCCTCTTAGCTATTTCTTCAACGTTCTTGAAGGCGTTCCAAGCCGCTCTCTTCCTCCTGCGCAGCTCGGGTGCCAGGTCATTTCTCATGTTGACCTCTCGACCTAGGTACACATAGTTGTTGCATTCGGAGATGGTCGTTCCATTGAGAGCAAATGGGGCGTCAGGAACAAGGCTGTTTCTCATAAACATTGTCTTCGTAAGATTCAGCTGTAGTCCTACCTTTCCACACTCACGGTCAAAGTCGGCCAGCATTTGTGCCGCTTGGCTGATGTTTGGTGTTATTAAAACAATGTCACCAGCAAAGCGGAGGTGGTGTAGTTGCCGACCATCTATCTTCACTCCCATTCCTTCCCATTCCAGTCGTCACATGATGTTCTCGAGGGTGGCACTGAAGAGTTTTGGTGAAATGGTATCACCCTGCCGCACCCCTCTCTTGACATCAACGATCACTTCTTTGTAGAATGGTGAGATCCTGGTAGTGAATCCGCAATACAGCTCACGGAGGATCCTGATGTATTGGGCTTGAATGCCCTGATTGGCTAGGGCTTCAATGACCGCTTCCGTCTCAACAGAATCAAAGGCCTTCTTTAAATCAATGAACGTTAAGCAGAGCGGCATCTTGAACTCCCGAGAAACCTCAATGAGCTTGGTTACCGTGTGGATATGGTCGATGGTGCTGAATCCTTTGCGGAACCCTGCTTGCTCGCATGGTTGTCCTTCATCTAGTGTTCTGCCAATCCTATTCAGGATGACTCGAGTGAACAGCTTGTAGATGACAGACAATAGGCAGATGGGGCGATAGTTGCCAATGTCATGGATGTCTCCCTTCTTGAACAGTAGTACGGTCCTGCTGGTTTTCCATTGGGACGGAACCTTGCATTCAGACAGGTAGCGAGTGAAGAGCCGAGCCAGTGTATTGATGAGTACTGACGGCAGGTTCTTCAGGTGTTCAGGTCTGACCTTGTCTGGGCCGGGTGCTGTTTGCTTCTTTACTGACGAAATGGCGTGTCGGATTTCGGAAGGGAGAACGTTGGGAACGACATACCCATCCTGTGGAATTTGGTATGTCGGCAAGTGGACATGGCTATCGAAGAGATTTGAGTAGAAGTCATGGATAATCTTCTCCATTGCCGTTCTGGAGGATGTGATGGATCCATCAGGACGTCGGAGGGCAGTCATCTTGGTCTTATAGTTGGCGAAGGACAGGCGGGCGTTACGAATACTTTTCCCGGCTTCTGCCGCATCTACCAGTACTTCTGCTCTTCTCTCTTTGAGGTCTTCCTTGATCACATCTCTGCACTGCTTTGCAAGCTCGGACGTTAGCTTGCGGTTGCCTGAGGCATGCGCCAAACCACACTGGCAAATTAGCTCAAGAGTTTTCGAAGATAGGCGACTTTTTGTGGCTATCTCTCTCTTGGCATTCCTCGCACATTCATGGAGGTGCTGAACCAGTCGATCGTATTCCTTGTCAATGTTGTCAACAATGGCATCTTCCCATGTTGCCGCAATAGTACCAAAGAGTTCCCAGTTGGTGGTCATTCTGGGAGTTCTCTTTTTGAACTTTGCAGCCCTTTCTCCCCGCTCTGTGAAGTAGAATTTTGCACGAAGGAGACGGTGGTCCGATCCCGTTCGAAATTTTGGGACAACAGCGACATCAGTCAGGCAAAACCGTCGATTGAATATGATGTGGTCTATTTCGTTGTGGAATCGTCCACCGGGAGACTCCCATGTCCATCGTTTAGATTCTGCCTTCTGGAACTGTGAGTTACCATGAATGGTCTTGGTCGACATGATGAACTCAGACAGTCTCTCACCCTGTTCGTTCCATTCTAGGCCATGGGTCCCGATGTGAAGTTCTTCAGCTGATCTTCTCGGTCCTATCTTGGCATTAAAATCACCCACAATGATCTTGTAGAAGGTGTGGTCTTCTTTATAGAACTTCTCTAGCTCCATGTAGAACTTCTCGATTTCTCTTTCATCATAATGAGATGTTGGTGCGTAGACAACGAAGATAGAAACTGCAGGCAGTGAGCCACATCTATTCAAATGTAAACGTCCGATTCGGGTTGTTAGGCATTCGAATGAATCAATGCTCTTGGCCAAGTTTGTGTTGACAAGGACACCGACGCCTCCAACACCTCTTTTATCGCATGTTCTGAGGAACAATTCTTCTCCGGTGTCGAAAACGGCATGGTGAGATTCGTGCCTTCTTGTCTCGGTCAGACCAATGATGTCGTACTTGATCATTCGCGCTTGTACCATCAGGTCCTCGATGGATGCATCTGATTCTAGCGTACGTGCATTGAAAGTACAGACGATCATTTTTGTCTTCCTTCGTTGTGGCAGCCTAGGTCGGCCTTGAGATTTTGTCGGCCTCTCCTTTCTCATCCTTCTCAGTGCTGCCATGTCGGTGAAGCCTTCAGGGTCAGGTGAATGAGACCAGTTGTAGTTACTGGTTTTGGCATATCGAGTACACAGCGGATAGCTTGCCAGGCTCTTCCGTGCGGGCGGAATACTCTCGGTAGCTTGCCAGTCTTTCCGAGAGGTATAGAGGCTTTTGGGGTGACCTCTAATCACCCTTGTAGGTGTTACCATATTTGAACCCTATCAAATATGGTACGACAATTCCAGAAGATGGGTATTTAGTGTCTTATGATGTGTCGCGCGGCCGGAGCTGCCGCGCGGGTCCGGAAAGCGTCCTGGAGTGTGGCGACGGCTGGGTAGTGGAAGTAGTGTCGAGAGTGGAAATCTGCCAGTGGGGTATTTATCTGGGTAGGGTGGGTAGCGCCTGTCCCCTACGTCCGGCCCGTGATTTTGGAGAAGGGACAGGGCAGAGTGACTTTGAAAGCATCCAGACACGCTTGTGTGGAAGTGCAAGATGACGTTGCCTTTATTCCTAATGATGTTGAGTTTGAAAAAGATAAACAGATGTTCCACATCATCACAGGCCCCAACATGGGAGGCAAGTCCACGTATATTCGGCAGACCGGGCTGATAGTGCTCATGGCTCAGATTGGTCAATCATTGTATGACTGAAACTCCAAATAAAAGTTTTGTAACTGTATCTCACGGTGATTCAATTTAAAAAATAAAAAAAAAAGCTCAGGGATGAATTTTGCAACTGAAATCTCCAGGCATTCATAGATTTGGGGATGGCCTGCCTCCCTCCATCCCTCTGTACTCCGGAACTCCTTTTAGTCTCACACACATATGCCCCAAAGTTCCCAGCCAATTAAAAATTTAACTCCATGTGCCTTTTAGCCATTCGGATTTCTTCTTTAAGAAAGTCTCTGTTTATTTCGTTGCCCCATTTTTTGATGGGATTGGATGTTTCCTTCTTGTGGAGTTCAACCAGTACTTTGTATATCCTTGATATCAATCCCTTGTCGGATGTGAATTTGGAGAATATCCTTTCCCACCCTGTAGACTGTCTTTGTATTTTGGTCACTGTTTCTTTTGAGATGCAGAAGCTTCTTAGCTTAAGATAGTCCTATTCATCTATCTCTGTTTTCACTTGCTTGGCCAATGGCGTGACATCTTTGAAGATACCATTAGCTTCAATGTCATGGAGAATTTGGAGACTTTGTCTTCAATATACCTTATGGATTCCAGTCTGATGTTGAGGTCTTTGATCTATTTTGATCTTACTTTTGTACATCGTTTTAGAGAGAGATCTGAGGCCATTTTTTACAAGTAGCCGTCCAGTTTTGCCAGCACATTTTGTTAAAGAGGCTTTCCTTGCTCCACTTCACATTTCTTGCTCCCTATCAA